CTTAAAAAATCGTCGTCATTTGTTCGAGATGCTATGTTCGATTGAACTGAAAATTTTTTTTATAGGTACACCCACACCCTGATTGCACAAGTCTTGATTTGAACAGTGTGCTAAAATAAATCTGTGATAATTCAAAATCAAAGGGTGAAGTAACGAAGTTGAAATACCACAAGAAGCAACAGTTAATCTTTAACTGTTACAAATGTTCAACAATACAACTGAAAAATTCCACTGAACATGTCTCTAATCAAGTTGCCTTGAATGAAATCGTATCCTGAAGATATCATCACTTATACATAAATAAAGGTCTTTCATGATGTACAAGTCAGTGATCAACTATCTATGGTTAGCATTGGCACAATATCATGCACGCTCATCCTATGTTTTATTTCAGTTGCATATTTAAAATTAGTAATATATGTGTAATTTCCGAATGCGATTTTTATTGTTTCATACTTTACTTCTGTATATTATGTAAAACAGTTCAATCAATAACGGTTTCAAATGCAAGGTATTTATCTCCATCACTATAGTTAGCTGTTTGATTCAGAAACATCATTCTCCATATCCCTACCTCTACGATTCTCTTTTCACATCCTCCGTCATTTCCAGAAATCTCTAATTCAGTGACCTACAAATAAAAAATCTCAACCATCCCTCAACAAGGCCATTGTAGTAGTGCGAAGCAGGCTTTCAGCGACCTGGCACTCTCTTGTAAATCTTTATAGTATGGTACACTAAGTAAAGCATATATGTTCTCATATTCTTCAGTTTTTCTGAAACTCCACGAAACACTTTATTTTTTGACAATTCGTTTTTAAACGCTAATGTTGTCCTCACACAAACAACTCATCCTTTTACCTCTTTTGCTTCCTTCGAAACAAGGATTGAGCCTCGATCAGCTGATCAAAGATCACATGACAAAAGAACATTCATAACCAAACTTTTATCCCTTTCATTTGCTCACTTGGAAAAAAGTTTCCGATTCGATCTACTGATCAAAGATCGCATGGTAAAGAAACATTTATAACCAGGCTTCTGTTTACATCTTTTGGTTACTTTGAGTAAAAGTTTGCGACTCAACCTACTACTGATCAAAGATCACATCGCAAATGAATATTACTTAGTAGACTTCTATTCGGCTCTTTTGCTTACTTAGAAGAAGAGTTTTCGACTGAGTCAAATGATCGAATATCACATGGTACAGGAACATTCATCAATATACTTGTATTCATCTCTTTTGCTTATTTGGTAGAAACGTTTCCAACTCGGCCTGCAGATCGAAGATCACATGACAAAGGAATATTTATAACCAGATTTCTGTTCACATCTTTTGCTCACTGGAAGGAAAAGTTTATGACTCAGCCTACTGATCAAAGATTACATCGCAAAAGAACATTACTCATTAGACTTCTGTTCATCTCTTTTTCGTCCATGGAAGAAAAGTTTCCGTCTCGATCCGCTAATTGAAGATCACATCTCAAACAAACATTCATAACCAGACTTCCGTTCATCTCTTCTACTCACTTAGATGAAAAGTTTGTGACTCGGTCTGCTGACTAAAAATCACATGGCAAAGAAACCTTCATAACCAGGCTTCTGTTTACCTGTTTTGCTTAGTTTGAAGCAAAAGTGGCGAGTCGATCAGCTGATCAAAGATCACATCGCAAAGAAATATTCATAACCAGATTTCTGTTCATTTCTTTTACTCATTTTGAAGCAAAGATTATGACTCGATCAACTGATGGAAGAACACATGGCAAAGGAACATTCATAACGAGACTTCTGTTCAACTATTTTGCTTAGTTCGAAGCAAAAGTTGCGAGTCGAACAGTTGATTAAAGATAATATCACAAAAGAATATTCATAATGAGACTCCTTTTCATCTCTTTGGCTCACTTCGAAGTAAAGATTACCAGTCAGTCAACTGATCGACGATTACATTGCAAAAGAACATTACTCAAAATACTTCTGTTCACCTCTTTTGCTCACTTCGAAGTAAAGGTTGCGACTCGATTAGCTGATTAAAGATTACATGACAAAGAAACATTCATAACCAGACTTCTGTTCGCCTGTTTTGTTCAATTCGAAGCAAAGATTCGGACTGAGTCAGCTGATCGAAGATCATATCACAAAGGAGTATTCATAACGAGACCTCTGTTCACATTTTTTGCTCTCTCTTCGAAGCAAAACTTGCGACTTGGTCTGCTCATTGAAGATCACGTCATAAAATAACATTCATAACCAGACTTCTATTCATCTGTTTTGCTCACTGAGAAGAAAAGTTTGTCAATCGGCCTATTGATTGAAAATCACATAGTAAAGGAACATTTATAACTAGACTTCGGTTCACCTTTTGTTGTTCACTCTGAAGCAAAAGTTGCCATTTGATTAGCTGACTGAAGATTACATCAAACAAGAACATTACTGAAAAGACTTCTAGTTACTTCTGTTGATCATTGCGAAGCAAAGGTTGTGACTTGGTCAGTTGATCGAAGATCACATCGGAGAGGAACATTAATAATGACGAGACTCCTGTTTACCTCTTTTAGTCATTCCGAAGAGACATTTGCAACTTGGTCAGTCGGTCGAAGATCACATCGCAAAGGAACAGTTATAAGCAGACTTCTGTTCATTTCATTTGTTCACTTCGAAGCAAAAGTTGCGACTCAGTCAGTGTATTGAAGATCACATAGCAAAGGATATTTAATAAGTACATATTGCACCAAACATTCATTCGTCAATCACAGCAATTTTGAAGCAGGATTTTCACTAAAAACATTAGTGCATGTTTTAAGTAACAAACGAATGACTATAATCAGTATCATGTTCGTTTATTTTCCTGGATTTGGGAAAAATATTTAGAACTTCTTCGACTAGTTAATGATCACGTGTCAAATGAACAAATATAATGAAAATTTGGTTCACTTATGTCATCCATTTTGAGCTGAAATACACGCATTATTCGTAGTTCATCTAGTATGGCATGGCCAATGAATGATGGCAACGCTTGAAACGATCCCAATGATTGTATTCGTCTATGTTTTCATCTCACTTTGAAGCTTGAATCAAAGCTTATGAATTAGCGAGTTGATTGAGGGACACATCATAAATGAAGGATTCACATATTTATTGTTTCATTCATATATTTTTCGTGATCCACATAAAAGATGATGCATTGCTAAATAGAGAAAAGATCGCAAACCAAATGAACCAGTTTCACCATTGTTGTGTTCATCTATCTTTCTTATTTTGAAATGATGACTCAGTGTTGTTGATATAGATCGACGATTATATAAGTAATGAATATTTACCATCGGAATTTCGTTCTCTTATCCCGTCTACTTTGAACTGAAACATCGAAGTCATGTTAAATTCGAAACGTTCATGGTATACCAACATTTATTTTCCAACGAATTTATTCAGTTATCTTGATGCATCTTCATATAAATGTTGCAAATTGACATGCTAGCAAAAGATTGTAAAATTAAAGAATCAACATAACGCTCCCAATCACTGCTTCCCCAATGGTGCTATTCAATGATATTGCATACATTGAAACAAAAATCTGGAGGATATATTCTTTTGACAGATGACACAGTGAATGACTGATGATAATTCTTGAAATGATGATATTCATCAATTTCAGTCACTTTAAAACCAAAATTGTGAATCATTAATGAAATCAAAGTTCAAATGAACAAAGAACCATTCTTATTTCTGGTATTATGTTCATTTATTTTATTTACTGGAATACAAAGTTTTTGATTAACGAAGACGTTCGACGATCATGTCACGAAAGGTTTGTCACCATCCATTTCCAATTTGCTGCATAATATTATTCATCTATTTTATGCACAAAAAAAACCAAGGATTCAAGAAAGACAAAGTCATAGAGAGTCATCAGCTATATGGATGATTAGCATCACCGGTAAGTTCTATGAATCTACTATGCCTATATTAAACTTACCTTTTAGATTCAGTAACACACTGGCATTCGCATGCTAAATGAATGATTTGAATAGTACCAACAGTCTTATTCATATATTTCATTCACTTCAAAGTGAGACGACCGAATTGCTAAGCATAAATAAGATGACCTATCAAATGAATGAGTTCAATCAACATCCTGTTCGCTTATCTTCTTTTAACTTTAAAGTTAAGTTTTTCACTTCGTCCATAGATTCAAGATCCTATGAAAAATGAATGTTCATAACGGCAATTACCACATTTTGCACAAACGTTCTATTCCAAAAACTTGCTCACTGGAAAAGATATTATGAGAGTTGGTCTAATAATTGAACTATTCTGACAGTTGAATAATCATTAAGATAGAGGTGTACACTTATCTCGTTTTTCTCCAAAGCAAATTAAGAAGTTCTTAAAAGGCTGATAGTTCAGATGGGAAGCGACTGAATAGAACGACCCTTAGTATGCTGTTTACTTATTTTTCCTTGTTCAAGTGAAAGCTCTGTTACAATTAGTTATTTAAAAAATCATAGAATAAATGAATGCTAATAACAAGAGATCTATTCACCTTTTTTCTCTGATTGAGTCAATACTTTAAGATGTTGTGTCGATCATTGGTCACATGACAAACGAATAATCTCAATCCGGTTCTTTGAAAACACCAGGTACAGCGAATTGTTGAGCTTCTAAATGAAAGTTGCAAGTATTCAAAATAATTTAAAAATAAGTTTTATTTCTGTTTTCCTATGAAAGCCAATTGATAATGACAGTCAAAATATATATAACAAGAAAAACCAATATCTTCCAGTCTATCATACAGTCTCATAAGTATCATCTTCGAAACCTGTCTTCAGATATCGAATATCTTCATCAAGTCGAATAAATGAGCTCTGATGAAATCTACATGGTCAAATAGAATTCATGTGAGAAGAACTTATTCAAAAATTGATTGTAAATAGGAAAATACCACATGTCAATTTATCTATTCAATACCATTTTAAACCTTTCGACTAGTCAATCCTTGTATTTGTTTAAGTAAAAACTATTGTGAACATCAACTTTTGACTATTATTTTGACTATAATTTTGTATTAATATACCTGATTTTTTATTGTAATTTGCTGTTGTGTCCAATTTCGTTGGTACTTCTTTAGTTATAAAACTTGCACTGACGATGGTACTGGTAGTTTTCGATAAAGCTGAAGCAACATGTGTGTCTGATATCTTTTTTGTTTCGAAACCTATTAAACAATAATCATAGAAAGATGTATATTTCGTAAGAGTTTTTCATACAATTTCACAAAATAATTAAAGATATCTTGTGCTTTCAATATAAGAAAGCTACAAGATAGAAATGGTTTACTTTTCTAGTATTTTGTTTGTTCTATTCTAATTATAATATATTTCAAATCGTTTCTTGATCACTCGAATCATATATATTTATTATTAATTAAGATGTTTTGACTATATTATTTCAAACAACTATATTCTTGGCAAACGCACTTCAATCAATCGCTCAATTCTATAAGAGAAGATCCTTTTCAAATTTTACCAAGAAGAAATTTACTGCGAAAAAAAAAAATTATTTTTGAATGTACGTCTAAATGGCTGAAATCCGTTTAAAATGGTATCGTTTGAAATTTTTCTGGATATAAAATTTCAAGAATGTTCATCGATCGATGAGGAAGTGAGTGTACATTTTGGCGTCGGACTAGTTTATTCATTTTAAGCGTTGCGCACTGAACTGTCTCGCATGTAAATCAGATGGTAGATAAAGAAATTCTAGATTTAATCCTAAATAATAAAAAAATATGAGCCCAAATATGCGGAGAAAAAACTAAGATAATCGAGTTCTTTTCAAAATTATGATGAAACTTCGGTGTTTTACTTTATTTAGGTATGTAACTATCAAGGCTGATAGACTCGATCTCGATGTATGCCTAACTCTATTATGGTCTATTTCGTAGAGAATTTCATGACGAATCTTTCCAGATCACGATAAGCTCTAAGTATTGTAAGGAATCAATGAAAAAAAAAGACAAAGTTCAAAGCTTTCTCAGATGTCTTCGTTAAAGATAAACATACTCTCTTGTAAAACAAATTGATTACGATGTTATTGATAAGAGTAACTATAACTTATCCAAATGCTGTTTGGATCTCTGCCTATTAAAATAATAGCTAGTTCTTAAATATCATATAATCTTGATAGAAGCTTATTCTATCGCAACTTTTATTCATTCTAAACGTTAAACTCTTTCATTTCTGAGAATTCTATTCTCTTGTTTGTACTTTTGATTTATCTTATATGAAATACCTAAAATTCCTTCGACTTCTCATGGATCTGAGCAAATGATTCAATTCAATATAAATTGTTGTATCTTTTTTTATCTGATTAGTCATGTCGATGAAAGATAGGAAAACAGATGGTGTTGGTGCAATTTTACAAGTAATTATGTATGCAATCATACCAGTACAACATAGGAAAGAAAAGTTTCTACTGATTGACTAAATGGACATAAAACAAGAAAAAAACGTTCAATTCTCGACTGGGATTTGTGCATGTCTCATTTCATGCACAAGAAAATAATCTGGAACACAGCATTATAGAAGTAACGGTACTTATTGGTTTTTAATATCTAATATTCATATGACAACTTGAATTTAGAAGATACTTTTTCCAAATCCAAGTGTTCTTATTTTGAATATATAGAACCAATTCTTCAGATCAATATACATGATCTGTTAGCAAAGTATTTAGTTCTAATGACAAGTCGCAGCGAAGCCACAACACAGAAAACTTAAAAAAACTGAAGTTCATAGTTCTTCGATTCTCGTTATCTTGATCGTAAGTGTAATAGGAACAAGGCATACCACCTGACTCAGGCTCTGAGTTTTGCTCTTACTTTCACCATCATGGTAACGAGGTAACGACGTGAGGCTGAAGATGAAGTAACGTGACAGTTGGTCGATTATATAATTTTTCTTCATCTGCCCATCATGCTCATCTATGAGTCTCGGCAATTCTACCGCGACTAGTAGCAGTTACTATCAGAGGTTGGCATTAACCGAATAGAAAGTTGACTTCTCTGGAACCACAGTAAATGAAATTTAATATGTTGCATAGTTGTCAGCAATGAAAGAAAGTAGTTGATAGGAAAAAAAATGTAAGGATACTGTTTGTGAACGGAAGTGTCGCAAAAAATTAATTTATAAATAGGAAATTAGTGATAGATCGGCTGAACAGAACCTGTTTATCTTTATTCTAAACATATTAAAGATGTAAGAAGCCTTCATCAGTCCATGACTTTCTGTATCTGAAAATATACATTTCTAGTCCTATCAATCAATTTTTATTCGTATCTTAGAAGTCAAATAGCTATTTTGAATTCGAACCTTTCCAATTTCATTAATGATCGTTGTCTGTAGGTTAAAGTAATAGATTGTCAGCATACTTTTCTGTAAGATTCATTGTCGAGATGTATCCTTTTATCAATGACTTTATTCAATAGGATTATTGATTCCTTATTCCTTTAAAAGTATTAGTGGATTTTATTGTGGCTAACAAAAGAATGATTGTTGTGTCACAATGCAGAAGACAATCAAAATGAGAGAACCAATAGCTCTATTAGTATTAAAAAATGGAGATAGGTAGATATAAAATGATAGTGCAAGAAATATTCAATCGGTGTTGATTACTTAAACTCAATCTCAAAACTCATCTATGATATTGAACTGAATCTTAATAAAATACCTTTTTTAAAACTCTGATCAGAAATGCAGTCGGATATACTTCGTTACCTTTTCGTTGAATGACACGGATGAGTGGTTGTGCTTGATCATCAACAATCTCAATAGCCGGTGGGTTCTCAAACATTCGTCGAAGTTTTTCCAATTGTTCCATCCAATCCGTCAATTCTATTTCAGTATAATCATCGGCTTCACGACCTGTTTCTAACTCACCTTTTAATTTCAGAAGTGATTGTTTTAATTGAGATTTCATGTCATTTATATATCTTGCTAGATCATTTCTAGCTTTTTCTGCTACTTCTTGAATCTTTCTAATCGATGATTGTTCCCAATCATCAATATGAGATAGAAGTGGATGTGCAGCATTATTTCCAGTGACACTTCTATAGAGATAATCCTGATGTTGACTGACACGATTCATTTCATCATCAAGACTGAGTCGATGTTCATGAAAATGACCTTTACAAAAGCAGTTTTGGCATCCAACACATATTGTGACGCCTCCACCTTTAGTGCAATTCATACAAAGTTGTTTTGCTTGAGTAGGTGCCATATTTAACTAGTTAAAAGAAAGTAAAAATTTAAAAGTTTGCACTTATGAATAACATTGTCTACGTACTATATCGACTGTCTTGAAATACTACGTATGTAATTGACACGATTCAAAGAGTCACTAAAAAATAGAAGTATGTTGACAAAGAGAAGTGATGAATCATGATGAAATAAAAGTGAGAAAAAAATGTTGCAATGTAACCCTATTCTAATCTTAACAATAGATATCTACATATTGTAGCATATGTTTTTATGACCATTGGAATAGTTACCTAGTTTGAGTTTGAATGTAATTGAAATTCTCGAAATCATATAAGAACTTCAATAAGATAACAAAAGATAAATTTTATGCTAATTATAATTATAATACGAACTAGGATTATCCTATAGAAATAACAAAACTGCAGACGATAAACTTTTATCTCAATTATACACTTATTTTTTTTAGGCGATTCGATACTCTCTGTAAATTTCCGAGAAACATATGCAATTTCTGAAATATTCACAAGAAAGCAGTTTTCTTAGATATCAGATTATAATAGGCATATAGACCTACTACATAACTTTATATACTTCGAATAGTTAGGTGAAATAGTTTGTATGTTGTTCCGCTCTCATTTTCACTGAAATGATGCGCCCTATTTACGTTTTTTTCGTCTCCACTCTCATCTATGCCAATAACAATATACTGCTCATGTGTTGAAATGCGAAAACTAATCATATCTCAAAAAACTAAATGTGTGTTTACAGATCCTAGTAACATTTTTTTCAATGGATTCTACTCAGATCGACAAATACGGAATCTATATAGATCTGTAAATGAGCAGATACGTTCCGTATTTTTTCCTCGACGGTCGCCTACGACCGTGCTTGTTGAAGACCTTAGCAGTTAATAAGACACGTCTTTCTTCAAGAGTATTTTATTAAACAATAACATCCCGTTGTTACTATTAATACATACTGGAAGATAAAGGCGAAGAGTAATTGACATATTGTGTTTATTATTACATGTGAAAATAGATAAAGAAATCGAAGTATGATAAAAGAGTTGAAGTAAGTTATTTTAATATTATCCTGTTATTCTGCTGATATTGCAGTAAATAACAAAAACTACTTTCTACTCTCATACTAAACAAATATAAAACTGTATTACTTTACAGCACTTTTGTGCATTATTACATTTTCATAAACCAAGCGGTTTCTGTCCCTAGTTGTCTTGTCAAAATTTGGCATCATTCTACGGAAAAAAGATTGGTATTATTTATTTAAACTCTTAAATTTTCGATGATTTCCCTTTATGCGAGCTAAAAGTAGTGTAGTGCGTAATAAGATACTATCTATGATTCATCATAAATAGAGTTTGATATCTCTAATCAAATCGCAGTAATGAAGATATTTTTAATTAAGAGCACATTATAAATGTTTACTCTTCATAACTACTATCTATGTTACAATAATAGTCAAAAAGATTAGAATCAAATATTCCTTAGTTTTACAATTTGCTCAAATGTTTCTCTATTTATTTTAATTGCTATGAACTTAGATTTCATTTATGTTTTTTTCAATCATATAGCAGAGAACTGCTTGTAGATTTGTAAACTATTATGAATCATCTATAGTCATTTATGTTTACATGATATAAGTGTACTGCTCGCAGTATAACGAATAAATAGTCATTAACGAAACAAGGACAAATCGACCTTTTAAAATAAATTATTATACGACACAATTTTGATTTTAGACATGCTACTTCATGTTAGTTTAGATCAATCAGTAGTTTTCTCATATTTAGTAGCTTGAACAATGATATGTATTGATACACTGAAATCTATTTACATTCTTTTGTTGAATTAATCTTCGTTTTTATTATAAATGAGTAAACTCTTAATGTAAATTAGTTTCTGTGACCAATCAGAAGATAACACTTCAATGCTTTCGAATTGTAGATATCTTTCCTAGAAACAACTTTTATAACACAAAACCAATCTTTTTTTTTTCACTAGAGTATTACCAAAATTTGATAAGACATCAATCGTGTCTGTCATCAAATCGTCATAGAACTCATTTGAATAGAAAGAAAACAAAATTATTTCTATAATTTTGTTCGGCTAGAGATTACCTAGCCATATTCGAGGTTTTCTCTTGTACAATGTACATTCATCACGAAGAAAAAAACAACATAAACGCTTCCAGTGAGACTCACCTGTATAAGAAAAAATGATGTAAATGAATATCAACTTTCGTCTTCTAGTATATTTTTATATGTTTTATTTTTTTTCTCTCTCTAATTACCGAATAACGACGCACACCATCAACCTATTTGTAATTTATTTTGTGTGTTCTATGATTGTATCTTATTTTTTATTAACAACAAAATATCATCAATTGACTCAAGGACGTTCTAGAAGTTGGAAAAAACCCACTTTTTCACTTATATTTTACAATTTGAAAGATATTTCAGTCATTATTTTCTCTTTGTTAGAATATTTAGAGCAAAGTCAAACGATAATTTGCTATGAGAAGAATAATTGACTCATGACTTTTATTTTTGAATTTATCGAAATATTATTAAAAACTCAATTCATACGCAAAATAAAATTCTTTTAAATGAAGATCATAACAATATATTAGTCTTTTTATCTTCGAGAACTTCGTGAATAATTGTAGAATAATATTGAGAATTGTTTTATCAAAAAAACTAAACACTAATTTAAAGAATAACGATTATCATCAGATTGAGTGTGAGTGTGTAGAACATGAATGTGTGTAAGAATCTTACAGAATCGATGATCTACACTGGCACTTACATTCAGACAACATCATCTTCAGTCATACCCACATTTCTCAACTACACCTGCATATTCACAAGGTTTATAGGTAATGATTCTATTTTCTTGTTATTTTAAAACTAATATAATGATCAACTTAACACATATTTCTAAGTATTCAACAACACTTATTTCCTGTAGACTGTTTTCAAAAAATAATGAAATTTAAATAATAATAAATATACGAACAGACAATGTCAATAATATAAAATAAAGAATAAACAAACTTTATATTATTTTTTTCGATATCAAATTCACATGATTGTAAAAAAGCAACACATGGTCGTTTATGATAAGAAACGAAAAGAAAAAAAAACTTGTCAATACAGTCCTTATGAGAAACTAAATTGTACAATTCACAAACTCTGACTGCTATAAATTGATGGCATATTATCAGAAGGATTAACATAATTCATTTTAAAAAAATACCAAATAAATGGCTGTGAATGTAGCTATAAGTATAGTCGTTCTATTCGCATACACCCACACCCTTCTTGAAATATACGGAGATATTCAAGATCGAATTCCTAGACTATTTTGGTTATTTTTTTAACTAACTGAAAAAGGTTTAGTCAGATCGGAGAATGTCGATTAATTACTCAACTATGATAGCAGACTTATTAGGAGCTCTTTGGAAACTACCTGTTCATTGTTTTTTTTTAGTCATTTTGAGTCTTTTCTCCTTCCTTGGATTGTAAGTGGTCATCTTAGAACTTCCTCTCTGATCATATGATCTCGAGCTGCTCGTTCATCTCTTCCTTCAATAATCTTTTTTAACGTAAAAATATTCAGAATTTTGCGAAATATCTCAAAATTCTCTAAGTCGATGCATTTCTTGAGTGGACTTGGTAATTCAAGGAGAAAAAAGTGGATCTCGGATACAGCAATATTATGAAAATACGAAAGATACGACGGTGATACAGAGGGTGCCAGGATTTGCTTTTTCTCTTTGATGAAAAATGATGTTGTGAACTATACTGAAGAAGACAATTAGAAGTTTAATGATATCGCTCTATGAGCTAGTTTACATAAGCCATGGCTGAACTTGCTCTAAATCGAAGATATTAAACTTTGTTCACTTTGAAATATGTTGTAGAGGAAAGAGTTTTAAGAATTTCGACAGAAACCGTTCAAAAAAAAGGGGATCATCTGAAGTTCATATACTTATGATAAAAAACAAGTTTGATTGAGTGAAATATGGGTGAATTGATCAGTACTACGGAGTACACGATAAAATGATCATTTTTCGGTATTTTATGAATATATATATTTCATCAACAAATCATATTAGAGAGATAATATTTTGACTTTAGAGACATCTCATTGAGTACCTACTGTGATATAGAATACAGCTCTTTGAATAGTTCATATCGCTCAGCAAACGTTCCACAAAAATCATAATCTTGACCAAAATTCCCATTTTTGGAAGGAATTGCTCTTCCAGGATACCTGGTCAATAGAAGACAAATTGATATAGTTTTGAAGTACGCACTGAGCACTACAGAGAAGTTATGCAAGCATTGACGCGGAATCTCCTAGAATGATCTTAGGAGACTTATTGAAAGATACTCAAAAGTGATCCATGTTCCATAGAAAATATACTCGAATTCATTTTGAAATTAATAGAAAAGTTTCATCACGTGAAATAAATTCTATCCAATATAAATCAGCATATGATCTTCTATGGACTTCTATAAAAGAGTTCTTTGAAAATGACAAAGAAATTTTTTTTTAAAGTTTTCGTAGAGAAGTACGTGGATTTCGAAAAAAATCTTCTTCACTGAAAGCCCTGGAAGGTGGCACGGGGATTTTTCAAACAAAAATTTTTACCATTTTCAAAGTATTTTTTTACAGAAGTTAATAGAGAATCACGCGCTGATTTATACTGGAGAGAATTTGTTTCACATGATGAAACTTTTCTATTAATTTCAAAATGAACTCGAGTATATTTTCTATGGAAAATGGGTTACTTTTGAGTATCTTCCTATACGGTTCAACGGACCGTTCTACGCAATACCAAGCCAATTCTTGCATAGCTTTGTACTCATTTCTCTACGATAAGCATATCAACTCGATATGTGTGCACATTAAGCATTTCAAGTCAAAAGGATATATTTTCACTGGAATATGCCTGTCACAAAAGATGTGTTTTTTTGGCAATTTCGTTTTCAGATATATATAAATGCTTCGAAAATGGAACAATATTTTTTCGAACAGTTTGCGTCGAAATTCTTAAAACTCACTCTTTCCTTTACAATATTTTTTAAAGGGAACAAAGTCTAACAATTTCTGTTTAGAGCAAGTTCAGTTATGAGTTGTGTGTATTGGCTCGTATACCATTTGACTCGGGCGATGTTTCTGCATACACAGATTGAGCAAACGCTCAACGGATAGAATCATTGGGCACTAAGTAATTAATATCGTTATGTTTCTGAGCGTAAATCCATTATATCCCGTAAAGCAATGTATTTAGTGTCGAAAAAAAACATGATAAATCACATTGCAAACTCTTTGTAATCGATAAGAGTTCTTCATCAGCAATGGTCTGCCGTAGTCCTATTGTATTCATCATATACATTTTGCATCTTGTCGATTGTATGAAATTTTATCCTCAGTATCAGCAATGTATTCACCGTATCCTTTATATCCTCACGATATTCGGGATCCGCTTTTCCCTCTGTGGATAATTACTTTAATATCGAATAGTTGTGCACCACTAATATCTTTAGTAGCTCAAATATCTTGATAGAGATATCATCGTTTGAATTTCGTTGCACAATCAAATTTTTGATAAACTCGCATCAACGTGTTCTTCTCTACATATATTTTTATGTGACGCTCGAAATAGTGTCTGTCTCACCTAACTCTACAAAAATAGTCAAGCAAAAAGATTCTCTTAGTCTCATTTTTCAATCTTGTACGAGGTTTAGAGCTTTTTGCAATAGTCTCGCAAAATCTGGATAGAAAAAAAAACAACTTTTGAATGGAAATGCGAAACTATTTTCTGGAAAATGATACGTTTTCTTTAAGTAATTATTAGATAGTGTTAATGATGTGATAACTTGTCCTAGCTGTATTCTCTTCTCTCTGTGATAATAAGTGATATATTATGAATGCCTCCATCCTTCCCAAACTGTTCAATGAGATGATCTGCAAACAGTCCCTTAAAATGAATATTTTTCGATTTGCAATATCATTCGAAATAAAAAAATAACAGTAAATCTCATATGATAAAATAAATTGATCTATATATAGAATTGAAAATCATGATCATTCACTTTCATCAGCTTATTTGTTATAACTATCAAATATTCGTTTAACAAAATCGAATATATCTTAATCAAATAACTGAACATTCTTTTCAATAAGAAAAACATACATACTCATATTGATCGAGATTCAAATGACATAGAAAAGTACTCTATACGTGCAAAAGCTGCCATTATACTTTCATATTATTTTTCTTTTTTTGTCATCTTAATTCATTCATATCAATTTAATTAAGATTTTCAATATGTTGTCTTATATGAATAGAAAATTTTTAATATGTTCGAGTGGAACTTTTATAATAATGACAACAGATGTGAATATCAATATAACAAAAAAAAAATATTTCATTTATTTTTAAGAATATTTTCTTAATGATAAATTTATTAGTTTCTTTCTTATATTACATTTCAAGTGGAACCCTTAAAACACAACAGCACTTTTCAGTATAAAATGTCAGTATTTTTTCTTATAACCAACATTTCAATATCATATTCATTTAGTTATCGTTTCTTATCATCTTCGTCATGTTGCACACTTATTATTATTTGGCTATTATAGCCATTATATTTTGTGTGCGTTCATCAGAAGCTATTGATTGTACATCAACATCATTTCAACAAGACTTAAATGCCGCAGAATTAGCTGCATCAAAAATACTTGCTGATGAATTTGGAGACTCAACAGCAGAACAAATTCAGGCTGAATTCGCTGAACAATTTGGTGAAGACGCTGACAGTATTAATGTTACAGTAACACAAGTTGGTGATACAATTACCATAGAATATCAACTTTTTTTTGATTGCGATCCACCACCAATTATATTACCTGATGGTACAGAACAAAAACAGGAAGCTAAAACTAAAGTTAATACAACTGATGTCGAAAACTGTTTTTCAGCAGGTTTGTAATAAAAATTAAATTTTTAATTTTAATAAATAAATATTTTTATTTGCCTATTCTAAGGTCTAACTGATCGAGCTAATCAAATATCACTTAAAAATGATCAAATTAAAGCAGGTGCAACTGATACAACATTGGAATTTAAAGCAGGTGGCCCCAAGTTTTTTGAATTTGTAATTGAAATACCATCCACATTATATACAAAAGCTATATCAGCTAGTTCACCTCAAACTGCAGAACAATTCCATAAAGTTCTTGCTACTTTTTTTCGTACTTCACTCATTGCTATTTATTCTAAAACCCTCCGCGACGTCAATTTTATTTCGGCTAAACTAAAATCTAATGGTCGATATGCCTTAACAAATCGAGTTTCTTTTACTGAAAATATAAACAACCAAAACTTGCGTACAGAAATTTCCTCGAATATTCAAAAAAGTTTTTATACAGCAATAAATAATTTCAAAATGTCCGCTAAAACAATACCAATTCCCGAAAAGGTACAAATTAGTGCACCAAAACCAGTACGTAAAAATACAAAGAAGACTGTTGTGAGTAAACTAACACAACTACTAAAATCCATAACATCAAATGCTAAAGAAACATCAGCTAAAGCATCTACAGGTAAATATAAGATGTATCTTTCACTTTTATATATTAATCATACCATATATGTTTAGCCACATCGCAGGATAAGACAAGTGATTCATCAAAAACGAAAACAACAGACACAAAAACAGGTGAGAAATCATTCTTTGCCAAATTTATTTCACAATAGAAATGGAATAGGTTCGACCAGTGGAAGTAATACAGGAATTATAGCTAACGCTGACTCAACCAAACAAGACACCAAAGCAGTTAAAACTTCAGGATCCTCAGTTGCTGCCACGTCGAACAATGACAAGCCAGCTTCAGCGAATGTTCCTGCCACGTCCAACAATGACAAGCCAGCTTCAGCGAATGTTCCTGCCTCGCCACAAGCTGACACACGTGCTGCTACTGGTACCGGTTCTCTCACCAATCAGAACACAAATGCAGCAAAGACGCAAACTGTAAGTTTGCAATAACTAATAAACGCGATATTTCTAGAATCTGACCTAAAACTCTAACTATATATTCTATTTTCTTCGACATTACAGAATGATGCTGATCGAGACACAAAAGCACAAAAGACAAAAACTGACACCAACCAACCATCCCAATCCGCAAACACTAATCAAGACAAGAATGCTGCTGGCCCAGTTAGTGGTGGCGCAGCAGCTGCTGTTTCCGATGGCAAGTCAGCCAAAACAGCTACAGCAGGTGGCGTTGCAGCTGCAGCACCTGCTGGAAAGCCAACTCAAGTATCTAAGGCAAGTGAGAGTGACGAGAAAACTGATGGAAAGCCAGCCAAAGTAATTAAAGCAAG